GGTGGTGCCCACCCCTCCACTTGGAGCACCTGAGTTGGGCACCGCGTTACCCCTGCTGCCTCCTCCTCCGCAGTGCTTTTGATAAGCCATGAGTCCTTTTTTTCCTGCTCCCGCCCCCTCCGCCGCCTTCCTACTGGCTCCTGTGATGGCACCATCATCAGGTTCCTCCTTGCCACCTCACCTTTGCCAGTGCTCTGGCACCCTTTTCCCCTTCCACAGTCGGTCCACACCTACCGTCCAGCTCCTGCTCTGCAAGGAAAAAAGGGCCTCATGGCTCCTCTAAAGTATGGCGGAGGAGGAGGGGGCAGGGATAACGCGGAGCCCAGCTCAGGTGCTCTGAGCAGAGGGGGAAGTGCCACTGCCATAGACAGGGGTGCCAGTGGGAGCTTTGGCGGCTTCACCACAGCTGCAGTACCAGGTGGCAAATCCGGCAGTGCTGTTGGAGGAGGAGGAGATGGCAGCAGTTATTCCGGTGGTGGCGGGGGCTTTGGCGACTTCACTTCAGCTACAGCGCTGGACGCAAGTGGCTAGGATTCGCCACCCACAAAGGAGCTCCCTGGGCTTGCTTTGCTGAACACGGGGCGACTGGCGGTAGTTTGAGCGGGTGCAGCCGGCACAAACTACTGTCAGTTGCCCCGTGCTCATCAAAACAAGTCCGGGGAGGTCTGTTGTGGGCGGCCAGTTCTAGCTGCCTGCAAAGGACTTCCCCGCGTTTGCTTTGCTGAACACGGGGCGGCTGATGGTAGTTTGAGCGTCCCACTGGCACCTAGGAGGTCCTAGGAGACCGGCCGTGCCGCGTAAGCTCCTGCTGCCATCCCCACCCCCCGCGCCTGTGCTAACCATAACCAGTACGGAAAATCTGGGCCCCCTGAGCTTCCGGAGCCTGTGACATTAGAAATCACTGTGCGGCCGTTGGAAACTGCTGCATGGTGTTTTCTTGCCATGTGCGCTGCCGCGCAGCCGTGCATCTTAGAGGGAACATTGGACAGGGTCTTATTTTCTTTTGATGCCCTAAATAATTGCTTGACCTTTTTTTCAGGGAGGTCTTATTATTTTTGAGGTGCAGGAGACCCCTTAACTGCAGCCAGCAAATCAGCTGATTGAGACAGGGGCAAAAGTTTTGTCTCTGTTTCTGACACACTCTTGCTAGCCCTAGTTCACTGGGCCTGCTGCTTTTTTTGCGCATGCCACTAAGAGAAGGGGTGTGGTAGCTAGGGTTTGTGGGAGTGGCCTCCACGAGGCCATTCTGTGCAGATGGCAGGGGCATGTGGGGCACGTTCCCCCTCTCCCCCAGGAAATGGCAGGGACCAACTGCACATTTAAATGCATTTAAATATTTTAGGGGAGGGCTCATTTTCAGGGGAGGGCTCATTTTCAGGGGAGGGCTTATTTTAGCACATGCACTCAAAAGCCTGATTGGGCTTATTATCCGGGGAGGTCTTATTTTCAGGGAAACAGGGTACAATGCAGCAATGCAACAATGCAACAATGCAACAATGCAACCATACAACAATACAATAATACAATAGCAGAGTTGGAAGATACCTTGGAGGTCTTCTAGTCCAACCCCCTGCCTAGGCAGGAAACCCTATACCATTCCAGACAAATGGCTATCCAACATCTTCTTAAAGATTTCCAGTGTTGGGGCATTCACAACTTCTGGAGGCAAGCTGTTCCACTGATTAATAGTTCTAACTATCAGGAAATTTCTCTTCAGTTCTAAGTTGCTTCTCTCCTTGATTAGTTTCCACCCATTGCTTCTTGTTCTACCCTCAGGTGCCTTGGAGAATAGTTTGACTCCCTCTTCTTTGTGGCAACCCCTGAGATAGTCCTCAATTTACACCCATTTGCTTAGCAACCGCTACAATAGTCCTGAAAAAGTGGCTTATGACTGTTTTTCACAATTAGCATGTAGCGGCATACCTATGTCACATGACCAAAATTCAGATGCCTGGTAACTGGCATGTATTTATGCTTGTTTAAGTGTCCTGGGGTCACATGATCACCTGCAATCTTCTGATAAGCAAGGAAGAAATCAGATTCACAAAACAAATGTGTTACTAACTTTATATCTGCAATGATTTACTTAACAACTGTGGCAGGATAGGTTGTAAAATGGGGCCAACTCCCTTAACAACTGTCTTGCTTATTTTGGACTCATTTGTGGTTGTAAGTCGAGGACTATCTGTATTGCAAAGGCATCCAGATATTTATTCTTACTTTGTAACTGGATCGGGTTACAACATCTTGTCAAACAAAAGGGAATGATGTACATTAGCAATCCTAACAGTAAATGACTGCATAATGTGGTAACCTTTCCTTCTCCCTGCCCTAATGGATGTGATTTTCGGGCGCCACTTCACAAGGGCCTTTGATAGCTGTTTTTCCTTCCAGCTTGAGAAGCTGCATTATAATTTTGCATGAAATTCAAGTTCAGTGTGGCTATAATATCTTATGAATAATTTACACCAACAGCCTTTCTGTGGCAGAAGACTAAACTAATTAGGACCTGAAGGAATTTCCATGTGTTTTAGCCACACTATATCTTCAAGATTTTATCATTTCAAAGTCAATGAGTCTAACGTCAGGCTTCTTATGCGTTAATGGCACCAGCAAAAACAAGTTTCATGCTCTTACTTCGGTCTGAGAATGGAAACAATTAATGAGCTAAGACGGCATGGGCAGGTTGTCTGTGGGTGTCCATCTGCTTATCAGATACTAAACATTTGCAGTCTTGACTTTAATGACACCGTTTTGTTATTTCATTACCCAATTTCCCCTTTCTTTTTTTAAAAAAAAAAAAGTGCGGGGGGGGGGGTGTAATATATGACTTTTATCAATTGCCCAATGCAGCTGCTTTTAAGAATCTCAATATATATTTTGATGCTGAAATTTATTTATTTATTATATAGTTTACTGTCCCCCCTCATCTTACCACAGGTAGTTTTGTCCTATTGTGATACATAAGTGTTCTGACCCGCTCCTCCATCCAGTAACGAATGCCGAGACAAGCTTAACTGGAATGTACTTTAATTAGCAAAACACCAAAACCTTGGTGGCTGAAAGCCAAGCATAACAAACAGATAGTTGGCAGCAACTCAGACAAACTCAGGCAGCAAGAAACACAGATAAGGCTTGGCAGCAATCCAGCCTGCCAAGCTCACAGTACTGGCCTCCGACATTCAATCCTGCGTTGACTTCTACAAAGAGGGCCGTGTGCACAAGTAGCTTTTATAGTCTGGAGAGGAGCTAATGACCACCAGCTGAGTACAATCACTTCCTGTAATTGTGTAATTGTTGCCTAGTAGCTCTTTGATGGCGTGCATCCAGGAACAACTCACTGCTGGCTTCTGGATCACTCCCCACTGGTCCAAGGCTCAGATGCCACTTGGTGGCCAACCAGTCTCTCTGTGCCCTGCTCAGAGGGTCCTCCACCTCCTCCAGAGCCGACTCATAGGGCCTCTCGCTGTCGGATTCTGGTGGCAGCTCCAACAGCACCTGCTGGGCCACAACAGAAACCTATATAAGAAACTTTGCACTCTTGTAGAATCANGCCAGCCAAATTGCCAAGCCTTCCGATGGCCTTTTGCAGAGCCGGACCCATCAGTTCTCATTTTTTAAAAACTTCTCCTTTTCCGTCAAGGCGAGAAAAAAAGGGACCAATTCCAACTTTTTATCTCCGCTAAAAAGTGCCTTTATCTGCAAGCCAGTGTCAGGAGCTCTATCTCTCTTTCTGCTGACAAGCCGAGATGAGAGAGATAAGATTGAGAATGACTCTCCCTTCGCCGGAGTAAATAAATAATCAATACTCATCTAAATGTAAATGAGAAAGTATCCCCCACTGATAACTGGGCTCTTATCAAACAGCCAATTCCACCCCCCAGCCCCCCCAAGACTCCCCCCCTCCCTCACAGACCTGTCCACCAAATCACTCCTCCTCCGGCCAGGGATAATGGCTAAAAAAACGGTCCCTCAATTGAACTCGGATCACCAGAGATCAACTACGAAGGTTTGGGGATGGTTACTTTCCTGACTCCCCCAATATTTGGGGGGGGGGAATGCAATTTGGGGCCCATTAGCTTTCAGCAGCCGATGAAAGATGAACGGGTCAAGGATGATGGACCCAGGGGGAATAAATAAAGCTGAAGGTGGTTTTATTCCTTCCCTCCAGCCCGTTATTTCTTTCCTTCCTTCGGAAAACGGGGGTGAGTGTGGGGAACACCAAGAGGAAAAACCAACTCAATGGCCCGCAAAAACAGCAAAAGAATTTAAAAAGAGAAAAGAAGCATGATGAGACAGAGAGCAAATCCCAGCAAAGATAAAACAATGATACGGAGTTCATATTTTGGATATATTTATGTACAGATCCCAGCCCATAGTCCTGGCATCAAAGGGAATATACCCATGGAAGAATTCAAGACTGCAGGAATAGAAAAAAAAAGGGGAAATTGTGTGAACGATTCTTGAGAAATTTATGGACTACTTGTGGCAGATAAAACCTCATTTTTATGGCTTNAGAGCTATAATCCACAAATAGCAACCTTACATATGTTCCCTGTTGTTCCAAATGGTTTAATATAGTATAGACAACAATAGACATAGCATCATCAGTTGATCTATTTCTCCTATATGCAAATTGGTGTGGGTCCAAAGTAGATAGAAGACTAGCCTTAATATAGTCTCTCAAAATGTTTCATGACAACAGATGTTAAAGGCATTGGTCTATGATCATTAAGAGAGACCACGACTGTCTGCTTGGGGACTGGCACTATAATGGATACATTTGGAGAAGATGTTTCTCCCTTGAAAGTAGCCCCCGTTGAACTGTACAGCACAAACATCAGCACAGGAAATATTTTATGACATTTTGTATTAATCCTAAAATGCTTTATGATAATTTTATGTCATGAAATGTTTTATAAAATTTGCCAAATTTCCATTCCATGGAAGCCATGAGTCCCATTTCAGGGCGTTTATGTCTGCCTTGTTCCCTCTCGCAGTTGTACCTGGATGTGTCTGATGAGAGTGGGGCCTTCACCCTGAGGCCCAGGCCCACCACCCAGTGCATTTACCTCTCTTCTCAGAACGAGGAGAGTGAGCCCAGCGATGGAGGTAAAAGCTGCCTCTCTGCCTGGGGCAAGAGCTCCATCTGTGCTGGGAAGGAGGGAAGGAGGGCCGAGTGCAGCACTAGCTATCTTTGGGCCGCGGTCTCTGCTACAGTGCAAGGGAACTCTTTCCATGCTTTTAGCACTTACACTCACTCTTTGCATCTTTGTAGTCCGAAAACCACACACAGCTTCCTTGGTGCTGCACAACGGGGAGACAGCTGAGTTGGATGTGATTTTCCAGCCCAGCTTGGTCCAGCGGGTTGAAGGGCTGATCCACTTCTCTATGGTAGACAACCAGTATGAGGAAACCAGCATCCAGATGGTTGGCGAAGGCTATCAGGATAACGTCACGCTAGACAATATTCATAGCCCAGTGGCCGAGACCGATGCAGGGGACATTGAGGGGCAACTGGATGAGAACACAGGAGAGGGTGAGTCAAGCTTCCACCACCAGGAGATCCAGCCTTGTTCTGAGGCTGGCCAGGCCGCTTCCACCCATTTTCCTCCTCCTGAAAGAGAAGAGGCCCGAATGTTGGACGTCTTCTCTCAGTTCATCAAATCAACACTTTTTCTCCTCTCCCTCTTTAATTCATGAACTGGCTGAATTGGATGCTGTCCTTGACCAGAAGGGCGGGAGGGCTGCTCGACTTGAGGGCGAGGCAAGGCCAGCACAGCCTGTGGGGCAGTGTCCCTCCTTCCGCCTCGCTTGGTCTCACCAGCACAGGGGATGGGAAGGGCTCCAGGTGTGGCTGCTGGGAGGGATGCAGACCGCTCGCCCTCTTCTCCGACAGCAGTGAGAATGGACCACATCCAGTTTGGAGACTGCCACATTGGGAAGCTGTATCAGGCCGCGTTCACAATCACAAATCACAGCAAGTCAGACGTGATGAGATTTGAATGGCCTACTGGGGGCCCCTGCCAGTTCTCCCCACAGGTAGGCTGGTACTCCTCCAGTGATTCCTAACTTTGGCAGGCCTAAGAACTCCCATGTTCAGTCTTCAGAGGGGTCTGTGGCTCATGGGGGTCTATTTGGGGAGGGAGTTGCCTCTGAAGGGAGGGGAAGCCAGGGTTTTAAGAGAGGGCCAGGCATATATTTTGACCCTGCTGCCCCCCCCCCCAAAGCCATCTCCAATAGTTAAAACATGGATCAGAACATTTTGGTCCCATCCACTGGGAGAGAGTCACTAATGAGGTTATGAGGTTCCATGCGCTCATTCCTGATTTAACAGTCTTTTTGCCATGTCACTCGGCAGTTACCTGACTTCGAAAGAGATTGTTTGTTTTTCAAGTACAGCCTGGGCTCTTCCTAGATAAGGAAGCCCTTCAGAAGTGTGAGGGCAAGCCTCTTCCAGATAGGTGAACATAGCTGTGAAATGGCCCGGAGCCCATGAATGCTGATGAATGTTTCCTTAATTTTGTCCTTCTCAAATGTTTGAATACGCTTCTCTCCAGATTGGCCATCTCCATGCAAGGTGCACTAAAAACATCACTCTGGCTTTGAAAGCCAGCCTGCCCATCTCCCTCAGAGAGCAGCTCCTTAGGTGCAAGATCTCCAGAATTACCTTCCAGTGCTCTGCTGACCAGGTCCCAGACTGGGATGATCGCTTGCATACTGTCAAATGGGTGGATGTGTCAAAAGGCATCACAAGTATACGTCCAGCAAAAAAGAAGGTAAGAAACCAGAATCTAAAAGTTGTGCCAACCGCCCTTCCTATAAGGCCACCACTGGGGAGGCAGCCCCTGTAGGGAGGGCCTTCCAGATTCTCACTGCCAGCCATCCACTGCCTTCATTGCATATTCATTTAGCACCTCTGATTTCATGGATGTAAAGTGCCGTATCTGGGCTGCTGCTGCAGCAGCAAAAATCCTGTGCCCCTTACTACTCTCTCTAAGGGCCATCCAGACATGGCAGGCTAAGCGTAAGGTCTGGGTAAGTACTGTAGCAATTCGCAATTCGCAATTTAATGAGTTTATATGCCGCCCAATCCCGGAGGACTCCGGGCGGCTTACAAATACGCAATAGAATAAAATAACACATAGGGGAAAGAAACATACACAGTTTAAAAAACACACAACATACATTTGGCTTAACTGGGGATTGGACCTGATTTAAAAAACAAGCAACCCCAGGCCTGTCGAAACAGCCAGGTTTTGGTGGCTTTTTGGAAGGCCACGAGAGTGGGAAGGGTCCGGATCTCTGCTGGTAGATCGTTCCACAGAGCCAGAGCAGCTACAGAGAAGGCTCTCCCATGAGTGGTCGCCAGCCGGCATTGTCCGGTCGACGGCATCCGGAGGAGGCCTAGCCTGTGAGTTCTTATCGGACGTTGGGAGGTGTATAGCAGGAGGCAGTCTCTCAGATATCCAGGTCCAATNAATAATGATATGATGATGATGTTATGATGATTTGATGATGATGATGACGATGATATATGATGATACGATATGATAATGATGATCTATGTTGATGATTTTTGATGATGATATATATGATGATGATGCTATGATGATGATGCTAAGATGATAATAATAATGATATGATGATGTTATGATGATTTGATGATGATGATGCTATGATGATGATGCTATGATGGTGATGATATGATGATAATGATAATGATATGATGATATCTGATGATGATATCTGATGGTGATATGATGATGATGATGATGATGATGATGATGATGATATAATGCTATGATGATCATGCTATGATGATAATAATAATGATATGATGATGATGTTATGATGATGATGATGATGATGATGATGATGATGATATATAATGATACGATATGACAATGATGATCTATGTTGATGATCTATGATGATATATATGATGATGATGCTATGATGATGATGCTAAGATGATACTAATAATGATATGATGATGATGTTATGATGATTTGATGATGACTATGATGATATATGATGATATGATATGACAATGATGATCTATGTTGATGATCTATGATGATGATATATATGATGATGATACTATGATGATGATGCTAAGATGATAATAATAATGATATGATGATGATGTTAGGATGATTTGATGATGATGATGATGATGATATATGATGATATGATTGATAATGATGATCTATGTTGATGATCTATGATGATACATATGATGATGATACTATGATGATGATGCTATGATGGTGATGATATATAATGATGAGATGATGATGATGATGATGATGATGATGATGACAATGATGATGATGCAACAAAGATGATTAGATTTGGATTTATTCGATTTGTATGCCGCCCTATTCCCGAATAGCAGTAGACTTATATACCGCTTCATAGGCCTTTCAGGCCTCTCTAAGCGGTTTACAGAGAGTCAGCATATTGCCCCCAACAATCTGGGT